TAATAAAATAGCTATATTAAACTCTTGAATTTATCCTAGTTAAAATGTTAAATACACATACGAATTTATCCTGAATTTATTTTAGTTAAAATGTTAAACATATGGAATATACAAACGCGAAAGTTCGCAACGACGAATTTACCTTAGCATATCGACTTTATCCGATTTTGTTAACAAATTATTTAGAAGTTCATCTCGTGACGGTGCACAAAGTCGACGCAGCAGCCCGATGATATTTTCAAAAAGAGGTTGCACATCCAGGCACTTGTTTTCCACTTGCTGCTTCAGTAGATCCAAGTCCAGCATGCTCTCAACTTCAGCGCGCAGACGCACATGATGTGGTAGCAGTAAGTCCAACACCATCTGCTAAATGCGAAAATTAGTAAAAATGTAAAAAAGAGATTTGAAATGTATAGATTAGGAAGGGGGAGATAGAATACTGAACGAAGAGGGAAATAAAGACGTGATGAAGCCGGAAATGCCAGTGTATGCGCTCATCCAGCGCTGCCGATACCGCGAAAGGAGTAAATACATCTTGATATAGCGATGAAACAAAGCAAATACTTCATTTCGCAGCCGAAATTATATTTATCGCAGAAAACTTATGAACGCTACATAATTTAGTTAAATGCGTACGTTCACCGCGAAATGGATTGGTTTCTGAATAAAACAAAAAAAAAAAAATTAGAAGCCCAGTTCGACATGAGAGTCGAGAATCAATGCGTTTAGATCACGAAATACCAACCTACTTCATATGAACAACACAGATAAATGTGCTAATTCCTAAAAGAAAAAGAGCATAGATGAAGTAAGACGTCTTTTTCAATACTAACACAACAAAGACTTAAATGCTATAAATCTCATTTTTTTTTAAGCAAACGTGGTTTTCGGTACAAAAGTAAAACACAGAAAACCACGTTTGCCGAAAAAAGCCACAGCACCAAGTACGCCTCTGTATGATAAACGAATTACTTTGCAGTGCACCCTTAGTGCGATAGTGCCGGTCTGGGGCAAACAATACTGTCAAAGCAATGCAAACTGGAAAGAAGGGGTGGGGTGGCTGTACGGCGATGATGGATGGGCAAGTCGTCGAGAATGTGCATTGCAGAATAGCACTGAGCAACGTTAAGCAAACAATGGGCCACCTAGAAGCCTGCAGAGAGCTAGAAATTTATAAGGCAAGTACAAAACCCAGGCTGGAACGCACCAGGCGGGCCGGTACGATTATGCGTTTTGGCACTTTTCGTGCCGTAGCAAGATCGCAAGGAATCAGAGTAGCTAACCCTGTGAAATACTGGCCCTCGAAGTTCGGGAAGTTAATGCAACTATGTGGTATGGTGTCAATTGTAGGTGTCGATTTCAGTGACCCGACAAATGGAAAGTTGCTGGTCCGCAAAAAAAAAAGGCCACACAAGAAGAGTTAAATTTAAAATCTTTTATTTGCACATGAGCAGGAAACATGCCCTTAAAATTAAAGCCTTTAGCTTTTGCCGTTTCTGAGTTAGCGGTTTTCTCGTCAAAATTTTCACGTGTCCGTACAAGAGTACTGGACGGTTTTAGGGAGCTGAATTTAAAATCTTTTGGTCATACATGATTAGGAAAGATCCCCCGAAAGTTTCAGATTTCTAGCTTTTCCCGCTCCCGGGTTAGTAATTTTCCCGCCAAATTTTCACATACCCATACGTGGGCATGGGCGCTTCTAAACACAAGATTTTGCTCGTACATGAGCAGGGAACATCCCCTTAAAGTTTCAGTTTTCTAGCTTTTCCCGTTTTCGGGTTAGTGGTTTTCGCGCCAAAATTTTCACGCGCTCGTACGTGAGCTCCTGACGGTCCTAAGGAGCTGAATTTGAAAGTCATACTAGCATTTTTCTTCTGAATAAATTCTATGGAAGCATTCCTTTACGCGAGGAATGAAAGAAAGAGAAGCACAGTGAGAAGTGGAACATTTTGGAACAAGGCAAAATGAAAAGAGCCATGAAAATGCGTCTAAACATAAAGCAGAAGCTGTCTGCGATGAATGTGATAACCTTTTTAATGTCACGGAGTAGAAGCAAAGCGTTCGCATAGTTAGGAGGTTGCTGCGCAAAATCATCTCGTAGCTTATCCCAGTAAGCGTTTTTCATGCACTCCTCCACCATCTTCTCCAGTGCATTGCACGGCTTCTCTTCAATAACAAAATCCGGATTAATCGCAATCTCATGGATCAGTGCCATATTTTCCAGCGCAGCCGACATCCTTATCAACTCTTCCATGCTCACTGTGTGAGTCGGCGAAGAGCCTAAAAGCATTTCGGGTCTTAGCACCAATAATGAGGGCAACATCCAGTAACAGTACTAACAATGTTAATAATAATACTGATGGAAACAATAATAAAAATTGGCCAACGCACAGGCTGCCCGTGCGAAGATGCGTTTTTTGCATGGTTCCCCGTATTTTTTGTTGCTACCGACACCGGT